CCCACCATTCTGCCAGTGGTTAGGCATTGTCATTTTTCTCTACCAATGGTAAAGTGGTGGTGAGGGTTGAAAGTGTTAAATTGGGGATTAATTTAAAAGATAACTTGAACTTAATCTGTAGAAAGAAAAAAAAAAGTCCTTAAATAAAGATTTTAGACATTTTTAAACCATAAAAGTAAAAGCAAACTCATTTCTGCCCAACTCAAATTGCAATTGGTGCTGACAAAAGAGAAATTAAAACATTTCAAAACTCTTAAAAACCCAATATTTGTTTCAGACATTTGTTTTGAAGAAATATAGCAAATTTAGGGATTAATTTATTAGATTTTGTAAAAAATATCACTTAATTTTTACATAAGGTACATTTTGCACAGCAAGATATATCTTCACTTGTGAACATGTCCAAAGGTCAGACAATTGTAATCTTAATCCAGCTTCTATTTACAAAAAATCATGCTATGAATCATATAAAATATTGAAGGTCATTTGCTGAAAAACTTTGTAAAACTATTTTTCAGCTTAGTTACAAACCCTTAACTAAGTGATTACTGTATGTTTAACAGTATTATAATGACATCAAAATCTTTATTATACACACAAAAATACTATCAGCATGAGTATATTAGTGAAAACTTTCAATATTTTGTGGTGGTCCTGAAAAGGGTTGTTATTTTTGTCATAATTTCAGAAATGAATTATTTTTTTTATTTGTAGAATAAAAAATGAAACTGGTATAAACTGAAAAAAAATATTCACTCGAAAATGACATTAAACTTTTTTTCTTTTGCTTTTTTTTTTTTTTTTTTTTTCGACCACATCTTTATTTTATATCAAGTTTATTAGCACTGACTGATTAAAGAGTTTTATAAAACATACTGGAAAATTGTTAATTTTTCACAAACAAATATACAAGAGATTATTTTTCTTGTGGAAACAAAATAATGCTACAGTATGTATAATTAAAACTGGGTGTCAGCAACTCTCAACAAAAAAAATAATTTTTTTTTTTTTTCTTTCTCAAGATTTTGAAGCAAGTTTTTCATGTGTTCTAATTTGATATTAAATATTTTTCTAATGACATAACCTCTTTGGGATTTAGCTTTGATAAAGATGTAAAAATTAGGAACATCCAAATATCACTAATACGGATTAACTATGTGTTAAGGATGTATATAACTGACCTCCAAAAAATACTTCCTCAAATCTTAACAGAAAAACAGATTCAATATAAATGTCATTCAGTAATGAATAAATGCTGAAAATTTCACTGAAATCTAAAAATTACTTGAGTTTTTTATAAATTCTTAAAAACTGGGTAATTTTTTTCTTCGTGTGTCAAAAGTGAACATAATTTTGAGGATACCTGATAAAATCTGACTTGCATATGAACTCCCCCCACTATTACCACCACTTCATGTTTCCTTGTATATAAATTAGTGTATAATGCATGGTTCATAGAAGAATTCAGGTAACTCCTGAGCTTGAGATTAATACAGTTCAGGAGCCTGTACTGGATAGATTATAACATCATTTCAACCATTCCACAATTTTTATGACCCTTTTCCATTGGTTTTAAAAATATATTGGAATTTTTTTCTTTAGTCTCCAGCTGTTGTCAGATATCAGCAGGACAGATTTGACCTGAACTTTGTGTTTAGTACTGAAAAAAAGAAGAAACTGCACAAAAGTCTCTTATTCTATATTTAAAAGCATTTAGCTATTGTCATTAAATTTTGTGAAGCATTCAATATCACACTTTAAGCTAATTATATTAGGTCATCTTAATAAAAAAAAAAACTTAGCCAAAAATAATATAAACTCTAGAACAAAGCATTTGTTTGTTTTTGTTTTTTTAATTAAATTAGAGGCTGTCATATGGAACATTTTTCGCATAATTACTGACAATAGACAGTTAATTTTCATATGAATAACTACTTTTTATGCCAGAGTTTGAACATGAAAATTAGTTGTTTCTTTATAGCTTTACACATAGCAATAATACTTATATATAATGTGAGAGACAGAACACTAAAAAGATGAATTTCTTAATTGTGGCTAGAAGACACAAAGAAAAACTTGATGTGCTTGATAATCAAATATTTTCGTGGTGCAACTTGGGGGTGGGAAAAACTTGAACATCTATGAAACTTCTATTTCAGTTAGAAGGAAAATGTACAAAAGTCAGTGTGGAAAAATTATCTTTTCTTTTCTTTATTTCCAATGATTCCCCCAACTTTTGAACTATATAAGTCATCTAAAACATTTTTCAATCAGATTATGAAATAGAATTATCTGTTTAAATAGAATTTGAAAGAAACTTCATGTTCTTTAATATTACTGAGCAACACCATATTGAAATCCACATTGGTCTGACTTTGGGATTTAGTTAACATGTTGATATATACCAATTCTTTAAATTTTCTTACTCCAGCTATGATTTATACTTTACTCCCAGAGAGAGTAATGTAAGTTTTCCTCTCACCAAATATGATCTCCCATACAAGATTCTTCCATTTCTCCTTTGGATATATCCTATTGACAAGTCCCTAAATAAACTACCAACACTTAATGAAGTTAGGGAAGCCATCAAAGCTTTGAAGTAGATAGAATTCCAGCAGAATGCAAATTTGGAGGCTATCTTGTTCAACAACAATTACATCAACTCCTCTTTAAAATCTGGAAAAATGAAGCTGTCCCATAAGATTTCAAAGACTCAGCAATAGTTACTGTCTATAAGAAGAAAGGAAACCAATTTGTCTGCAGTATTTACTGTGGAATCTCTATTCCTAACAGCTCAAATTCTCACCTATATTCTGAATAACCAACTCGGACCACTAGCTGAAAAAATTTGGAAACACAAGCCGGTTTCAGAACATCCCATGGAACAATAGATATGATGATATTCACATTGTGTCAACTACAAGAGAAATGTCATGAACAGTTTCAACCCTTGTACAGAGCATTCATTGACCTTACCAAAAGATTTGACTGTGTCAAGAGACTCTCCATATATGGTTGTCCACCAAAATACTTCAATATCCTGAACTTACTTCATGATGACATGTGCTCCATAGATCACAAACAATGACCAATGTGAACCATTCCTAATTAGATCTGGAGTAAAACCAGGATGTGTCATTACTCCAACTTTGTTCACCATCTTCATTATAACAGTGATTGACATCATAAACGATGATCTGCCTCCAAAGATTGTCTACAAGACAAACAGCAGATTATTCAGCCTTGCACATATTTACTCCAAAACCAAAATGTCAGTGAGTCCATTGATCAAGTTTTAATATGCAGATGACAATACCACCTGCAACAAATAATGAATGCCTTCAACAATACATACACCAAACACAAACATGAAAAAAATGATCTATCAATTATCACCAATTTGAAACAGTCTGGGCAGAACGAAAGCTCTAACTTGGTGAAAAAATCTTAGAGAATGTGGATCAGTTTCCTTAGTAGCCATCTGTCTTATAGAATTGACCAAGATGAGATACAACACCATCTCAAATGTGCAGGATCAGTTTTTGGTCGCCTAATTTTCCAAGATCATGACATCAGAACAGACAACAGAATGTTAGTGTACAAGACAGTTGTAATTCCAACTCTCCTGTATGCCTCTCAGACCTAGACAACTTATCAATGACATCTGAAATTCCTTGAAAAATTTCATCAGTGTTATCTTCAAAGTACCTTTAACATCAGTTGGGAAGTCAGAAGAACTAACATCAATGTACTAGAACAAGCTAAAATGACTGCCATTGAAGCCATTGACATAAAAAATCAACTTTGGAATGAATATCTGGTGTAAATGAATGACAACTGGCTACCAAAGCAAATCTGATACTCCCAACTCAAAAAAGGAAATCAAGAAAAAGATCAAAAGAGATTCAAGGACATTCTAAAACAAAATATGAAGAAATGTAACCTTGACATCAACAGCTGTGGATTCAGTTCTATCTCTGGAGACTCATTGTTAGAGACATAACAACAATCTTTTAATCCAAACAATCAGGCAGACTAGAGGGAAAAGATGTCAAAAAGAAAACAATTGAGACCTAATTCACCATCCAGAACAACCTGTCCTCAACATCGAAGAACCTTTCAAGCAAAAATCAGTATGATCAGCCATCTTCACAAACCCAACTGAACGAAGCAAACAAAACAAGACCATCATCCTTGACCTTGAAGGATAGACACTGACAGATATCTCTTTTTATGTTCATTGAGTCTGATTTTGACAAAATTGTCAATCACTCACTTCATATTCTATTCCATACCTTCATGGAATGTGGCAAATGCATTCTTGTCACTTTCTTATAAGAAATTAACTTTACTAAAGTCTTTCTAAAAAGTTACTGTGCTATTGAAAACCTCCCTGATGTTATAATGCCCATGAATTCTTTTGAATTTGTTCTCTCTTTTATGTATTTTAGCTGTAACTCTGTAGTTGGTGTCTCTGGGGTTCTTTTTCTAATTTTTGAAACGACAAAGGATTATTGTGCTGGACAGTGCTCTTTATTGCCTTCAGTTCTTTCTTCACTTTTTGTTGAGGGTGACCACTTAGGAATACCAGGTGCTGTCAGATTGGAGGTGCAGGTGACGTAATGGATAACAGCCTGGAATTGGAAATTGGATTCATTGTATTCATTTACATGCAAATACCCTTTTGAACAGTATGAATCTGACTCTTCTCCCCACTAAGATCATTATTATTTCCAAAAAGAAATTCTTACAACCTAAAAATATTTTCTGCCTTTGAATAACCTGTAGGTTGATAAGCCCCTTGCCTCCAAAAAAAAAAAATTAAAAAAAATCAATTTACTTTTGTTGGGTCACTGTCAATGACTTTTTATCCATTGTTAGTTTGTTGCTTTCACACAACATGCATAATACAACCAATATTCAAAGTAACCCTCACAATCATCTACTTGCTTTTATCATTCCAATACTAATTAATACTTTTTTCTTTTTTTTTCTTTTAGATTTACTGACTCAGCTGAAACGTATATCTTCAATTATAATCCATGCAAACCCTTCCGGTCAAATGCAACTAACTGTAAAAATGACACAGACTTAGCTGTAAGTGTTCATTGTTTTTTTTTTTTTGTTTTTTTCCTTTCCTTGGAGTCTTTGATTTTCTATGAAGAAAATATGTATCATCTCATTGGTTATCTTGTTGTAATCCTGCTTGTCCCTTCCTGTGTTAACACTTGTGTATGTTATGCCCTGTCAATACCTCATGAAAAAATGGACTATACCATTTTGATAGCTTGGAGAGACTGAAGACATTATAGTCACTATTTGTCTTCAGTGAGGAAAGGGAAGATAGCATTGTCAGTTTCAGTGAAATGGAAAAATTTGTTAATTTCAATTCTTTTCATTTGTACCCCTTCACTTCTTTAAATAATAACTAGCATTAATATTTATGATTATTATTGCAATTTTTGTTAAAGTTGTTAGGCTGAAATAATGAGGAAATAGGGGAATTTCTATAGATGTCTTCTGCCGTAGAACTTGCCATGACATTCAGTCATGAACTTAAGAATTAAGATTCTTCAGAAAATTCAAATAGGAAAATCATGAATTTTTCACAGGTATTTTTAGTATATGTATATTCCTGAGATGAGGTATTATATACAGTATTCACATTATTCAGACTATTGTCCTATTTTTTTGTTGTTGTTATCGCTTTTCTCTAGCACTTCTTATTACTGGTTCCCATATTGTATTCATTTCTATGCTTGGTCAGCTCAGGAGTTTTTTTGTGGCCTAGCATATGTGCTGATTCCTTAAGTTTATGAATTTTCCAATGATTTTCTCTGTCTATGGTTTCAACCTAATCCCACAGAAGGTGGTGATATCCCTTTTCTCTCCAAATGTGGTCAGCCATGCCTGATTTTTCCACTTCCCCTCATATTTCTGGTGTTCTTGAAGCCTTACCTTAAGGAGGCAGCCTGTCTCCCCTTTATATTTCTTTCCGCAGCTGCACGGAATAGCACACAGTCTTTAGTCATGTTCTCCTCTATGTAGAGTCTTACTCTGGAGAGATATCTACAAAGTGTCGTCCAGCTTTTGAATGTTGTCCTGATGTTATATGGACCGCAGATACTTTGTATTTTCTCTAATAACCCCTTCACATAAGGCAGGCAGACTGTTTTCTGAGTGTTGTTGTCCTCCTCTTGTGCCAGAGAAAAGTGATAATAACAGCAAAAATTGCAATATTAGCATTTGTAAAAAAATGTGCTGAAGACATTAGGTTTATAATACCCAGAAATTCATATACAGATGTCCTCAAGGACACATGGCACAGTGGATAAAGGTGTTAGTTAGATCCAGTGACAGGAGCCAAACAGTGTGAGTTAAGTGGGTGAGTTGGAGAGGAGAATTAACAGATAACTGATAACTGACATCCATTAGACATGGCATGTGGAACTAGAACAGTCTACCTCAGTGAGCGAAATAAACGATTCAGTTCGACATTCCAACCACCTGAAGAAAGCCGGAGCGTACAACGGCCAAAACGTTGTAACAAATATGGCAACAAAGATGAGGACAATAGTCTGAATAATGTAAATAGTGTAGGTATTTTTAGTTATGAAATAATGTTTGAAAATTTAAAACTCCAAAATTAAGTAAAACAGCTTTTTTAATAGTTATTTGTTTGTTTTTTTTTAAATGCTTGTTGCAAATATCATAAGCATATTATGATTAATTTAATAATTATAATATATATATATATATATATATATTTTTTATTCAGTCTATAATAAATAAACTTCATTGTTTTTTTTGTTTTTTTTGGATTTTTTAAGTAAGTAAATAATTTTAAATTGTTTTATTAAAGCAAAAAATTATAGCAAGCCTTATTTTTTTGAAAATTAATTAAGATATAGTTCAATTTGTAAAACAAATATTCAGTACAACTAATGTTGACTGTAAGTAATGTCTGTCTCTGCTAATTTTTATTTAACTAAATTTTTTTTCCTTTTCAAATACAAATGATTTGAAATTTAAGCATAATCGCTTTTCAATACTAAATTCTCAATGTATCTTGCTTCTACTCTCTTTTGAAATAGTAATTAAATTCATTTACAGAGAAATGTTTGCTTCTTTAATGTAATGTTTAAAAGTAAAACTTTACTTAAAAAAAATCTAAATTCCTCTCCAAAATAAATAGTAAATTCATTTGCAAAGAAGTAAGGCTCACTATATTTTTTGCTTGAAAAAAATGATTAAATTAAATGTTTAAATATCTTAATTTAAGTTTATTTACTTAATAATAATTTGAAAAAAAGTTAATCAACTTTTATCTAAGTTTGATTTGTTTGAAAACATTAACATAGTATTTATATTAGTATTTAAATCAGAAAATAAAGTGTCTTTTTGAATAAAAATATGGGGATGCTCATGAGAGTGTGGTATTGGTAATGTGGTATTTTAATAAATTTAGTTATTTTGAAACAAACCAAAAAAAACAATTAAGCTTATTTTTTAAAGATTGAATAAAAAATTATTTTCTATAAGTTGGCTTGAAAATATCAATAAATGCTAGTAATCAATAAATAATAAGCATCAATTTTGTGAATGATATTTTCCTGAAAATGAAACTTTAGGCCCTTAAACTCCCCCACCCCTAATCAATTCTCATTTGTTTTCATTCAGGTAAACCGTATTGATAAAAGTGGGAAATGTCTTGTGATTGGCAATCAGAAAAATGTAGCTTTCAAAGGGGATACTTCAAAGGTGGATGGAATATATTTGGAGTACAGTAACAAGAAGGGTGTACCAAACAGGTAAAAGTTGTCTTTTATGTCTTCATTTTGCAGAAATTGATTGCTTAGCACATATGCACACTATTATTTCATGTAAATTTTGTGGGTTTTTTTTTGTTTTGTAAATTCTGTAAACCCTCGATTTCACTGAATTTATCATCAGTCTGAAATTTGGTCTGAGCCAAGCACAGTTTCAAACCTTTAATTGTTCCTAAAATAAATCTTATGCCAGAGAACATAAGTTTCTATGAGATCTTTTAGATAAGATTTTACATCACTTTCAAAGAACAACAAGAAGTGAACTGTTCTGTCAAAAACTCTCTCTCTTGTGGGTGTGTGTGCATGTGCAAATATATATATATATATATATATATATATATATATATATATATATATATATATATATATACACACACACACAGGATATTATTGGGTGTAGGATGTGTGGGAAAGAGTTTTCTTGACATGTTTTGTTCTTTTAGGACTTCATCATACTAAATTTTTTACAACTAGACAGACACACAAGAGGGGATGCTGGGAATTTTTTTTTTTTTTTTTTCATATAATCTAACATATTTCATTTAGATTCTTTTTTTTTTGTTTCTATATCATGGCACACTCTAAATATAGTGAATTGTTTTCTCATTTGATTGTAAAAATAAATAGACATAATATGTCTATTATTTAATGAAACATGCTGTCATATATATATATATATATATAGGCAGCATATGTGTGTGCATGTAGAATTATATTTAGACTACAAATATACATCAAATCAAGTTTGTTTAAAAAGAACCAACAACTTCTGTCTGTTTAATTTTTTTTATTGTATTTTTTCAAATAAAGTATTGAATATTATACTCAGATTTGTGGATAAACTATCTGAAATTCATGTTGTGTTATTGTTTTGTTCAAGTTCTTTCACATGTCTTACTCATTTTCAAGAACCAATGTGTTGTCTTTGCAGTAGGCAGAATTCCTTTGTCTACATTCTGGTATTCCTTAGAAAACTGGAAGCTTGAAATAGTCTATGGTGATGTCATATATGTAATTGTTATTGGGAAGAAGACCAAACAAAAAGAATGTAACACACACACACACAAAATTTGCTGTTTATTTTGTATAAATAATAGCTTCTGTAGAGTATTTTGTTATTGTCCACTCTTGTTGATAGTTTTTTGTTCATTTTTGATGTGCTGGTTCATATGTGCATGGATTGCACCAAGTTTTGATAGGCCAGTATGCGAGTGTGGTGCATGTGTGTCTAATATAAGAATTTAATACTGTTTTTTGATTATTAATATTGAAGCTGCCATCTCCCAAAAGGCATGAAAATTCATAGACAGCATTAATTTTACACAGGAGTGGTTTTTGAGGCATTGTTGGTGATAATTAGATTAAATTTTAAAAATTTTATAGTAGATAATTTTTTTTTTTTTTTTTTTCTCTTGTTGATTGTGTGATATGTATCAACGAATTGTTTGTAATTTTTTTTTTTTTTTTTTTTTTTCATCATGTTTTTAATTATCTGGTTATGATAGAATAAATTACTAATGGTGTGTTTATTTTTGTTTGCATCAGGTACGTGTCGTATAATATTTTTTTCTAAATTTCATTAAGGCTTATTTGTGGACAACATATTTAGGGTAGTTAATGCTGATTAAACTTTGTTTAATCCTTAGCACTCTGCATTATTATCAGTCCCAATTTTTATTTTGTTTCTTTAGGTGGGAATGGTTGCTGTTGGGTGGAAATTTGGGATTTTATTGCTTATATTTTCTATGTGCGGAGCGTATGTGCAGTTGATGAAATTTTAGTTCGGTCTTAGGTTTTTGAGCATTCACATCTGACCAGTGGTGGTAATTAGTTTAGCATGAATCAGAAGATCTTGTTTTAGGAAGAATGTAACATATATTATTATATATTGTATATTTTTATATATATTTTGTATGAAGAAATTCTCTTTTGTAGTTGAGTAAACACAACTTTCTGCTAGTGGTGTTTTTTATAAAGGGAGGTCGTAATATTGTGGCTGTTAGTTCAAATAAAGGATTTTATTATAAATACTGAGTTCATTAGTAAAGTGTAGGACTGAGTTATTCTAAAATGTTTCTTTGAGGTTTTTTTTATTTTGTCTTGGTTTTTTGCTAAGATGTCCTTGATATAATGAACATATATATAGGGGGAATGGTGGAATTATTGGACCAAGAGGCAAACCCACTGCTTTACCATCAGTCTGTGTGTGTAAACGTTGCCATAAAAAGGTACTTGTGTCATGTAGAATAGTTTTTGCAGAATTGTTGGTCTAATTTTAGGTGGAAATAAAAAGGTGATTGCCTATGTTTTAGTTTTATGAGACTGTCTATAGCTTCTTTGATTTGGACAATAGTGAATAAGCTTTAAAGTCTAACAAGGCTAAGATGCCATTATTTGGTTTATTAGACCGTGTTGAGGAATTCACTCAGAGTTAATGCTATACTTGATGAGTAAGTATGCATGTAACAGTTGTTTTAGAGTTTTTGCGTATTGATAGCCAGGGGTTTGTGTTTGTTTGTTTTTTTTGGGGGGGTGTTCACTTTCCCATATATATATATATATATATATATATATATATATATATATATATACACACACACACACACACACTTTATTATAACTTAATAATTTTACTTCATATTGTATTAAAGTTTTTTTGTTTGTTTTTTTTTCATGATATCAATGAAAAACTTTTAATAGAAACTTTGCTTGTTGATATATCTTCAGACATTCATAAAACTGAACAAGGCTTCAATTTACTTCTTGATGTAATTATTGTCAAGTTTTATTCATCTGTAATTATAAACTTTTCAGATTATAACTTTCTATTTCTGCTTATTTCTAGTTTTGCCAAAGTTCTTCTGCAGTGCAGCAATCAAAATCATTTCAAATATATAAAACAGGAAACTCCAACTCCTCTATCTTATGTAAGTCACTCATAGTTTTTTTTTTTTTTTCTTTCAAATACAGGTCGAGAATCCTTTATCTTAAATCCTTGGGACCAGAAGTGCTTCAGTGTTCAGATTTTTGGGGATTTTCAAATACAGGCTATTTAATTTGTATATAGCATCTATAAAATGGAGCAAATAGTGAATGGAACCCAAGCATAAACATGATATCCCTTTACATATCATAACACAGCTTATATAAAGTGTGTTCCAATAACTTAGACTGATTTTAAGTGTGAATTAAGTTTAAGTGTCTAATGATTTTTTTTTCTTTTTCTTTCAGATTTAACAACTTAAGTCTTTGTTAATCTTTCCATAGTTGAAATTGCCAATCAAATGTGTTAAAGTTTCAAGAGTGCAATTGGAAAAATTGTTCGTAAATTCAAGCAAACTGGGTTGGTGGCAGATGTGAAAACGCCATTGCGTGATTGTTTATGCCATTCAGCTGAAAACATTGATGCAGTGCACAAGAATGTAGCCGAAAATCCAGACACTTCTATTCTTGATCATGCATAGGAATTGAACCTCTCCACAACAGCCTTGTATCATTTCCAGTTGCACTCTTGGTTGGTCGATTATGTTAACCAAAAAAATTCTGAAGTGTGCAAAAGAAAAAAATTAAACGCTTAAACTTAATTCACATTTAAAATCAGTCCATGTTATTGGAACACCCTTTATATATCCTGAAGGTAAATTTATATAAATAACATATACCCTGAAAGTAGTTTTATATAAAATTTTAATAAATTTTGTTTATGTACACATACAAGTAGTGATGCTAGTCATGTAATGCTCACACAGATTTTTAAGTGGCAAAATTAAGATTTCCTGTAAAAATAATGTTTTGAACTTACAAAAAAATATATAAATGCAGGATTTTTAACATTTTTAATATCTTTACCTGGTGTTTCATGCAACTAATTCTTGATAGAAATGTTTTCCTTCTCAAACAAAGAATACTGCAATATGATTTAAATGCAACTATTAATGTTACAAAAAAAAAAAAAAAAAAGAAAATTTAATAATCTAAGACCTGATTTATTGTGTATATCATTACATGATTATACTTTATTAACTGTTTTGTCTTCATTATTTTTTATTTTAAACTTTTCCCATAACTGACTAGACATTTTTGGTTAGACATACTTGGATATTTGTTTACAGTGTAATCTAATACAGGTCAAGAATTCTTTATCTGAAATTTCCTGGACTGGAAGCACTTTGTTTTTCAGATTTTTTTTTATTTGGGAATACAAACTATTTAATTTGTATCTAGCATCTATAAAATGAGACAGCTTGAGAATTGAACCCAGGTATAAACACGATATCCCTTTACATTTCATAACACAGCTTATACATCTACCCTGAAGGTATATTTATATAATTAACATATACCCTGAAAGTAGTTTTATATAAAATTTAATAAATTTTGTGTATGCACAGATAAAAGTAATGGTGCTAGTCATGTAATGCTCAGACGGATTTTTAAGTGGTGAAATTAAGATTTCACATATAAATAATGTTTTATACTTTCTGTATGTGTACAAAAAAATGATGATCACTACTTACAAAAATATGTAAATGCAATGCCAAACACCTCCTACTACATCAGGTGTGAGAAACTGGTGGGAAAGGATACATCATTGATGACATCACTGTGAGTAGGAGAAGAAAAATTCAGTAAGCTATCGGTCACTAACAACAGTGTGGTGCTTTGATTAAAATGTTACAGTACATACAGGTACAGTATTTGTATAAAATCAAAACATAGATTCTGATTACAGTTAAATGTAATGAAAACTGAAAAAAAAAAAAAGAAGTCGGCATATTATTTGAAATGCTGCAACACAATAATCATTGTACAGGTAGCCATGTTGCTTTCTGAAAAACTTTTGGATTTTGAAGATTTTTGAATAAAGGACACTCAACCTGTACAATCATTTGATACTGATAAGCTGGCATCTTCACTCTTATATTGTGATTATTATTTTCACCATTTATTATGAAGGTCCTGGGTATTGACAATAAACTACATCCTGCAGCAAGGCTTTTCATCAGGATAGTTTTGAGGAGTGTGGAACCACTTGTTCCTAGGTCCACCCTGACCTGGAGTGGTAGCACCTGTTAGGGTTCCAGCTATGGGCAAATAGTTTACCCCCAATCTGGAATCAAAACCCTATAAAAGGGTAGAAATATACAATTTTATAGTGAAGATGTCAGAAATACATTTTCATGATTAAAAAGTTACCAGCAATGTATTATAAAAAGAAATATGACCAACAATACATTTTTGTAAAAGAAGGAAATTAGCTAAACTGCAATCTGTGTTTTTCACAAAACAATTTCCCCCATGTCTTGTGTAGGACATTAAAATACTACCAGACATAGAGTAAACAAGATGGATTAGAATCTAATTGTTTGTATGAGGAAAACTTCACCTACATGCTGTCAGCTTATATGATAAACTTACAACCTATCTGTTTATAGCTAAGATAGTACCTTCAGGAAAATATAGTTTCTCCATACAAACAATCAAAATAAAAAGGAGACACGTTTAAACAACTAATAAAAAATCATAATCCACAAACTGTTTACACAAAGCACTATGCCTAAACTACCTGTCCATACAAAATACCTCTAAAACTGCAATATGTAAAATGCACATTCACAAAAACCGATTCACAAAAACTATAAATTCCCCCTCAATGGGGCCACCTGTTTGCCATGGGCGGCAACCTGTGATGCCCGGGGATGGAGTCCTGGTGACTGAATGATTCTTGATGTGGTACAAAATGAGTTTTCACAACACATCACTTTGGTCCCTACCTGAGATAGACGATTGGATGGATAGCCCAATCCAATCCAATTGGCTAGTCACATAGTGGCTAGAGTTAGTTGTGATGAAAGATAATGGCTTCAAATCCTTACACCATGCCATATTTGGGTAGATATGGTGGAGGAATGCAGGTGCTTGTATTCACTTTCATCCTGACTGTACTGTCTGTGTAGCCCTGGCAGATCAGGGCGAATGGGATCAGTCCCCCCTTGATAGCACCTCTTAAGGAACTTTGAGGTGGTGGGGAGCACAGACGGTAAATACAAAATTATATGGCTAACTCGAACCAAGAGTCAATATGAGAACATCATTAGATGGTGAAATATCAAAGGTGTCACCTTTTGTGTCGCAAATGGTTATGTTAGCCATGGCATAACCAAAATCTGTGAAAAAAATAACTTTAAGAAAAAAAAGGAATGAAAAATAACACTTAATTCGAGTAAAAACCAAAAAAGATGCAGAAAATTTTGTAAAAATCAAGCAATTAAACAACATGAAAGTAAAAGCTTAACACTACCAATGTCTTAATTTGATTAAGGGAGTAATAAAATGCCTAGAACTGTCACTCTGCTCACTGGAAGACATTCAAAGTGATGACTCCCTAAAAAAAGCAAGATGTAACAATTCAAATAAAAAGAAATGACACATCAATAAACACAAACACTTACATTTTGACATTCAACGAACATGCTCTACCAAAAGAAATAAAGATAGGATACACAATAGCCATGATAGAGCCATACATTACTAATCCCTGTAGAAGTCACAAATGTCAGAAATTTGGTCATCTACAAAAACATTGTACAAGAGCATCAGTCTGTCGAAGATGTGGGGAACTTGAGTCAGATCATGAAGAGTCACACTGCAAAAGGCCTCCTGTTAAAAAAAATCACTCAGCAGTCTCTAAAGAGTGTAACATCTGGAAAAAGGAAAAGAAAAAAATAAGAATAAAATTCATGCAAAACCTCTTATTCCAAGAAGCCAGAAAACAGGTTGAATCTAATTCACTTCCAACATCCTATGCAAATATTGCTAAAATGTCAAATCACCAAAATGGCAAGAGAACAATGCAACCAAGACCTTAAAATTCTAATAACTGATTTAAAACGTCTAATAGAGCTACTAAAATTTAGTATATCATACTTAAAACAAACTCCCATAGTCAAAACAAATCCTGTTGCATCAACCTCAAACAAAAATAAATCTATAAGTGCAAAAAAAAAAGAAAAAAAACAATCCAAAGTACAAAAATCCTTCAAGAAATAGAACCCTCCAAATATTCACAAGAGAATCAAAAAGTTCATGAAAGAAATAACACAACCCAGTACATCATTGAAAAACCAAGAGAAATGGACATAGATGAACAAAAATCTATCCTATCTTGAACAAAGGAACAGTCATCATCCAGATAAAGATTGTCAAAAGAACCTAATGGAAAAACAAAGGAAACAAGATCAGACAAACAAGCAGAATTGAAAAGCTTTCAAAAAACAAAACATGACAAGAAACAAAGCACGAACAGACTGAAGAGCATAGAAATTATGGATTCTTCACCCACTGAACATTTAAACCGGACAAACAAAAACTTATAACAACATCTTAGCACATAAACATTATGCAAAAAATTATACAGTGAAATTGTCGTGGCCTAAATGCAAACATAAATGAAATACTCCTACTTATAACAAATCAACTTCCCGGCGTCATTTGCTTTTCAGAAACTTTCTTAAAACCTAATGATAAAATAAAAATAAAAAACTATACTCAATATAACTACATGCATGACACTCAACAGAGGGCATCTGGTGGTTTATTGATCTTAATCAGAAATGACATCCCCCCCCCCAATAGTAAAATACTTCTAAGAAACCAATCTACAAGCAGTTGCTGCAAAAACTACCCTACATAGAAACATTAACATCTGCTCTGTTTACATCCAACCCCACGATCCCATAAAAGCAACTGATCTAAATAAACTAATAGAACAACTACTGAAACCATTCTTATTATTAGGTGACTTTAACAGTCACAATGTTATATGAGAATACAAGAACTTGGACCAAAAAAAGTGAAAAACCTGAAAAATGTAATTAACAACAATGACTTGTTTACTAAATGATAAGTCTAATACATATCTACATTCTGCATCAGCTACATAATCAGCGATTGATCTATCCCTGTGTGACCCCACTATTTTTATGAATTACAATGGGAAAGTTCTTGACAATTCATGTGGCAGTGATCAATTATGCTGAAGAGTTCAGAACCAAATGAAAACCATCTCCCTCAATGGAAACTAAACAAAGCTGATTGGAGGGAATATAAAAACCAATGTTGTCAAAAATTTACCAACAAAGATGACAAAAAAAATCTATTGAATATTTCTCTGAAACATTAATAGTAATTGTGAGAAAATGTATACCAAAAAGTAATGAATCAAATAAACATCAAAGACCATGGTCCAACAAAGATTGCAAAAAGGCAATGAGATTATGTACAGCAGTAGAGAACTTGGAGAAGCGAATTAATAGGAGATAACTGATAACTGACATCCATTAAATATGGCACATGGAACTAGAACAGTCTACCCCAGCAAGCGAAATAAAGGGTTCAGTTCGACATTCCAACCACCTGAAGAAGGCAGGAGTGTACAACGGCTGAAATGTTGTAATAAATATGGTGATAATAAATGTTGTAATAATATGGTGTAATAAATATGGTCAATTAATGGTATCACTTGAAAATAAATTGTATGACGTTTTAATATGTTACCAAAATATATTTTTCTTCTAGTAAGGTGGTAATTCCCCAAATATTTTAAAATGAATCATAATACTTAAATTGATTGTCCTTTTTATTGATGGTTATTGAAAGGTTGACTAACATAATCTCACAAAAGTTTATATTGTAATTTTGTATAATATGCACATCTAACTTTGGGCAAATAAGAAATTATTTTTAAACCTTTTCATGCTAATATGTACCAGCTTTTTAGGGTATGTTGCAACTTAATTTAACATTTTCTCAACTTTTTATTCAATTTACATCAATTAAAAATAAGTATATAGTTTACACCATTTTAAAACTTAAAATGTCCACAGTATTTAGTGCAAATGCATATTTGCATCAAATGTAAGTAACTTAAAGTAGAAATAAGCTCACTCTTGGAAAAACAAAATGACACACATTCCAGTGAAATGCCCTGGGAAGCAGTGAAGGTGACATCCTTTTGAAAATGGTCACTGACTTAAGATGACAGGCATCTACTATACTGACAATGTACATGAAACTGTTTTGATCTCTAACATTGAAGCAGACCAAAATGAGCTTAATGACTATGGGAGGGTTTTATTTTTATTTATTTTATTTTTTTTTTTTTAACAATTCCAGTTTTTAGTTTGGAATTTAAACTTGGTTATACTATACTATCTAATTTACTTTCGATCATACCATCCAGAATATAATGATGCGCATGACCAAAAATAATAAAGCTTCTTTTTCTACGCCCTTAACTTCTATGTTTATAAATCTACTGTAGAAATGCATATTATACACAAATAACTACGATAATTTTTATTAAATAACTTTGATTTTTCGATGTGTTTAGTAAGGGGAGATAACCAATTTTTATTACTGTGTTTTATTCCATTTAAGCCCCTTACTCTCATTTCAATATGGAATATTAAGGAAAATAATATTTCTACCTGAACTTCACGTGAAGCCTTGGAGACATTTTATGACTTTTTTTTTTTTTTTTCATGGGGAAAGTGAATTTTATAAATCCTCTTATCTGTTGCATTCTGCTATTAATGTTTATTTGATATGTTTGTGGTTAATTAACAAGCTAATCTCAAATCATTCACAAGTATAGTGAGTTTTATCCTATTGAATAACCACCCCCTCCTTAATAAAATCTCACTGCGGCAAGATTTTTTAATTATTGCCCCCTGACGATTTACCGGTGGTGCGAGATTGAAAAGACTCAATCAGTGACTTTTCATAGCAAAAAGACATTCTTTTCGCTTCTGCAAAATGTGAGTAACCAACTACAGACACTTAAAGTTGGTTTGAACTTTTCACATTTCATGTTATCTTTTCTTTTATAAAATGTCCTGACAATATATTTGTTAATATTTCTTTGTTTAAATTCTGTAACTTATTATTCCTTTGGATTTATACAAGTCCAAAAATTGTTAGCAGGTCCAATGTACCAGGAGCTTATAACTTCTCATCAAAAGAATATATATATCCACTATAGTCATCACTGGGTGCTCCATTCTTGTGGCTTATATACCAGATTAAGTTTAGAAAATATGATTGACATATATGTTAAATATAAATTTAAGTGATACAAGTATTATTGGTTAAGAATCATGCTAATATTTCTAGGATTTAGGCAGCATTTAAAAAATAAACAAAATTTAATATCTAACTTGCTTACAAGAGTGTTAAAATATTAAATTGTTTTTGGAAGTAAAGAAAAAAATTGTTTTCATAATATATCTTTTCAAAAACTACTTAAATAAAAATTAAACAATAGCACTGTAAAATGCTTGCATTAATTCCTGACTATACTATCTAATTTAAATTGATTTTTTTTTTTTTTTTTTTTTTTTACTCACTGGCAATGTACAACAACTAGATTGAGACCTGAAACTTATACAAATGAACTTTAGATAAAAATAATGTTTCAATGTGGAATCTCTATTCCATGTTGAAACACTGATATTATGTTGACTTTAATTCATTAATTCCTTGTGGACAAACTTCATAGCTTGTTTTAATTAGATAATTATTACATTATGATGATTTTTTTTTTTAAATTATCTATTTAAAATTCTTTTTGTGAGGAAGGAACCAAAATGTATCTGTTCTACTCTGTAGACATGATTTTGAAGTTAAGATCATTGCATAAATATTCTTACAAAATAGAGATAAGTATTAAATAATGTTTTGAATTACAACTGTTGTAGTCAATATATCTGTTCATGAACTAAATTTATGGGAATTTTGGCATGCTTTTCTTTCTTTCTTTGCTTTTTGTATTTACTGTATGATTTAAAGTGAATGAAATTTAACCTTTTAACCTGTATTACAACTATCTTGTAAATTTTATTTTCCCTCTATTCAGGTTTTCAAATTGGAAACTATTTATGCTTGCCAACCAGTAAATCACAAATTAAGTGCTGGTTCTATTTTTCTGATACTGTAAGTTGAAATGGTCTTTTTTTACTATTTGAAACTTTAATAATAATGGAATAAGAAAATTTTGAATGAAATTTATAAATATTATAAATTATGCTGATAATTGTCTTATTCCTTTTTGTTTAGATTTATGATTGCTACCACAGTATATTTGATTGGTGGGTTCATCTTTAAACATTTCTATCTCCATGCACAAGGAGTAGAGATTATTCCTCATTATTCCTTCTGGAGTGACTTCCCCTTATTAGTTCGGGTAAGTGATTCTTTTTCCGTCTTCATAAAATTTACTAAATTATTAACATGTTACTTTCTAATAATAAATCATCAGTGAAAATAGGAAAAAAAAAACTTTGTAATCCTTTCTTTAAACTTTTAAACCTTTTTCTTTCTTTTGTTTACACCTTTGATTATTCCTTTATTATTATACTCACAGCATATTTAAGGTCAAATAAGACCATGACACTGTTCTCCTCCATTCCAGCTGGGAATATTAAAAATGTCTTTGATGGTACATTGACTGTTATTACAGATTTATCTATTTGCCCATTCAGGGACTCTTCTTCCCTTGCTTACTGTTTATTATGAATTTAGGAAATTTTGATATTGGTGTGTGACTGGGTCTTATTTGCCATCATATAAGGTAACGAAAAAAACTTTCATTTCGCCAATTGCTATTTTTAACAATTGGTCTCTGTATAAAATCTCTGATCATGAATTAATTTTTAATAACTTAAAAGGAAAACGGTCTACTTATGCCAATTCTAACTGCAAATTTATTCAAACGTTTTAATCATTTTTCAGCTGAAAATATTGGATCTTTCTTTCATTAAGTGAGAACCTTTTGGCTGGTAAAAAAAAAAATGTAAAAACGCTCACCAACTATAGGAACTGAGAAAATTTATCACACAACTTAAAAACCTGATTATTTTTTTTCTTTTAAACTCCTAATTTAGCATTGTATGCAGTAGTAAAAGTAACAAGAGAACAATTAAATATTTTAAAATACAATTCACACCACTAAATGACTGATTTCTAATTCTGCTTGCATCAAAGCTTAAATAGGTGGGAAGTTAAAGAAGATTCAGACAATTTGAAAAGCTTGTAAGTTAGGATATGATTTATTCTAAAATATGAAATAATATATGACTTTATATATTTACCAATCATGCTGACTGATCACCCCCTACTTACTAATGAGTTTCCATTTTTATGGTGATAAAAGGCATTACTCAGTGCCACAAAACAACCATGCTTTGATACCATACTAATGGAATGTCTCATTAGTAAGTAGTGAAAACTGGTTGCTTATAGATACATTTTTCTCTTTATGTTGGATATTTATCATTTTAATAATGAATATAGCAGAATTCTTTCTTACAACTGTGTTAACTATATGGATCAAAATCTGTGGAAATATAAATGACGCAGTTAAAAATAACTTAAAATTGCTGCCAGTTCTTGATGATACATGTAAATTAGTTTTATTTATTTATTTATATATATATATATATAACCATCCCTTTTCTCCTTGATTTTTCACCTCACAATGTTAGATATAAGCTAATCAGAATCTTTTGCAGAATTTAAATGAGAGGCTATCATTTTAGATTAACAAGTTAAAACTAAGGAATGAAACTGAAGCATTCTAACATTCACATGTTGCAGAAATTCTGTCTTGGTTTTGCTTTTGGATTTCTATATATAATCATGAGATTGAATGAAAGTTTTCGTATGTTCCATTACTCCTACTTGTGATATCATGGGTTATATAAACAAATGTTATACCCAGAATACATAAAAAATTGTAAAATCATTTATGGTTCTGTCCAAATTTACAGTCACAAGAGCCAAATATTGTAACAATCAAAGTGTAACAAAATTTTATTTTCATGTTATATTAAATTTTTGTTTTGAATTTTTATTAACCTTTTTATTTATCTATTTATTCTAATAATTGTTTAAATGATTTTTTTTCTTACTCTGATTTCATTACCAGGATGGTTGTTACTTTACTTTCCATGGATGTCAGGGACCAACAACCTATGAAAGGATTTGAACATTTCTACAATACAACAGCTTCTACTAATCCTAAATACTTTCCTCTCACCTCTAACACTGGACTGTTGATTTTTTTTTTCCCTCCACTCTTGAAATAATTTAGTTGGCTCACCTGACAAGAGAAACAAAACCAGGAAATTTTTTCTATTTTAATTTTATAACAAAATATCCAAACAAATGTTATTTGTGGATGAATTTTTTTTTTCTTTTTTTATAAATATCAAATTTCATTTATGACTTGGCCATTTTGGAGCTATCCACAGATAAAGACATCACTTGTATGTTTGTGTATACGCACATTTTGTATAAATTCTTGAAAAAAAATATTTATTTCAAACAAGATATGTATATATTCATTTTTAAGCATTATTTCTTAAAGACTTGTTTCTTTTAAAACAATCTTTCCTGATTGAGATATATATATATATATATATATATATATATATATATATTATAGTTTGGGTATAGAGGTACTGGAAAAGTATTCCAGTGTGTCACTTCAGTGACTGTGACCAAATTTGTTTTCATGGTGCTACTTTGACCTTGAACTTTTGAGAACGGTGTATGTGCTAAAAATTAGTCAAATTAATTTCCCTTTTATGCATTCAGTATTTAAAGTGGAATTTTTTTTTCTTGTGACATTTGCTTCATTGATTTTTACATTCTAACATGGATTCCATGTTTGCCTGTTGCACTAAAAGCATTCGCATGAGTTTGATTAGAAAAAAAATCTCAGCAGTTTATCTGACTTGTGCAAAATGTGTAACTGATTTAATTCCAATTATACTGGACAGTCATTTCCAAGAGAGCAACTGACAGCAAAATTTTCTCACATTATAGACTTAAATTTAAAATGTCTACTTCTATCAAAATAACTCTTTTTCTACTATTCTATAAAATTAGTTTCAATTAAATTTTAAAATTGGACATAAATTTATGAATTTGATGCTTACTATTTTGTAGGATGATTATATTTTTGATGAGTATTTGAAATCAGATTTACCTATTTTCATATTTTGTGTGGATTCAAATATTTATTTTTTCTTTAAAAAAATGCTTTCTCCACAAAAATTCTTCTATTCTATATACTTAACCTTTTGAACTTTAAAAAAAAATTAAATGCTAAAGGTTGTGTACATTGAAGACATTAGCGCAGTCCACTAATTTTGGTTGTGATGATCATACAATAACCAAGTAACTGCTGTTTTGACTCTGATAATGTTTTAGCTGGGGGAAAAAAATAAAGGTAATTTTGACAACCAAACATGCTGTTAATAAGCAGTTTAAATGTTAAATCTTTTAAATTGAAAGAAGTACCTTTAATGTAAAATAACATGTATGCAAAATTTCAGCATTTGTTTCTTTAGGTTAAACTTTGTTTTTTTTATTATTATTTTTTTCTCTTTTAATCAGCCATTTTGTCATAAACACTCTTTTCTAATTGGGGGCTGACTATAATTTCCGTGCTTCATGGTTTTTATTCTCAGTTTCTTATGAAATATTCAACTAAGGAATTACTATCTTCTAGAAAGTGACAGTTCTGTGTAAATGTTTCCATTTAATGCTTCTAGGAATGATCAACAAGAAGTGGTGTTTGCTCTTACTACTTAGGTTTTGTTAGTTGGATTTGAGAAAGCCCCTTTATTTACTATGTCAAATCTGCCTTTTGCAACTTGGCTGCTCTGACAAGGGTTCTTAATTTTATCTTTATTTGGAGTGTTCTAGTCTTTCATTTGTTAAGAATTGTCTATAATTTACAGTTTTTAAGTTTTCCATACAACTACTGAGGCTCTGTGTGTCAGAAAGTTTTGGTCAATATATTCCTCAAATTATTTGGTTGTGATATACTGTTGCAACATTAATTTAAAACTTGTCAAATATTTTCTTAACTCGTTTGCAAAATGGAAAAAGATACCAAACTTTTATTTTTTCATTTTGTAAACAAAATATATTTTTCACTTCTATATTCAATATGAAAATAGTTTCCTTTTTTCTTTTTCTTTTTTTTTTTTTTTTTTTTTTTTTCAAGGAGAATTTATGCATTTTTGTTTGTTCTTAATTGTTGCTGCACCATAAGAAATTTGTTTTGCACAAAGGAACAGTCATTTGTTATTGAAGTTTAGGCTTTGTCAACGTTTGTCATACAAAAAATTTAAAAAGTAGCTATCACATTTATAAGATATTTTTCAACTTCAGCTAAAGATCCATCCTCCTCAGCTACAGTAGTTGAAGAATTTGCCTGTTGTCTTTGTTCAAACATTTTTGTATTCCAAATGGCTTTGAGAAAAAAAAAGATACAAAAATGTGCTGGATGTTTTATGTTTTTGTTTTCTAAAAAGAATTTAGATTTGCTCATCAAAGACTGTGACAGTTTATTTATCAGTTCAATTATTATTGACATATATAATGACCCTTGTTTCCTTTTCCAAAATTAAATGTTTTTGCAAGTTATATGTATTTTGCATTTAATATTAAAATTAGTAGCTTTTTATTATTTGAATAAAGTCCAATTTTAAGATGGGAGAGTAAATAATATATTATGGAGTTAGAATTTTCATCTGCAGTTTTTGTCTCAATGTGGAGATTATCTCCAATATAAAAACTGAGTACATTCTGTCAGATTTCAAATATTACTTCTAATTTCTATAGTAAATATAAAAGCTTTTTTTTAAATTTATTCTTATTAGTTCATAATTATTGTCGTTTAATGTTTTAGAATTTTATAAAATTGCTCAGTTTGCAATCTCAAAATTATATTTTCCTTTCTTAGTGTAAATTACATTAATTCAAGAGAAGAGAATATTAGTAGTGGTGCAAAGCAACTGATAAAAATTTACTATTGACACTATGGTCATAATTTGACTTAACATGTCTCTTGGGATGGTATATGAATTAAAAATGTTTACTTACTAAATAAGATAATTGAAATAGTGTTTAATTTTTATGCAGCCTTTTTAGTGTAATTTATTTAAACTCATTGGCATTTGACTTATCAAAAATTTAATGAAAGCTATTTTTCACTATGAAATTAACTTATTAAGTACAAGCTGTGATCCAAACATTTTTATTAAAAAATGGTCATGAAAAGCAAATTTAAGAACAGAAATAACATTGACTTGCCACTATCTCCTCCAAATTAGCTCTTTTGGATATGTATTCAGAAATTCTTATGGTTTTTGTGAGTATCTTTACTAATGTTTGTATAACATTTGGTAAGTATATTCTGTTCAGATTTCTCAAACTTTTTGGATAGTTGATCAATTCATTATTATTATTATTATTCAGTAATTTTTTGAGTTTTTTTCTCCATAAATGTTTTCAGTTTTCCATTGAACATGTTTTGTACAAAAGTCCTTTTTTTATCTTTATTTAAACACTGAAGAAACTTTTTTACAGTCACTTTTAACTAATTTTCATTTTTTTTTTTCCTTCTGCTACAAAAGTTAGAGAGAAAAATATTGTCTCTAAGAAAAGAAATAGTCTGTTCCACAAGAATGTCTGATTTCTTCATTAGTGTTATAAGTTTTCAGAAATCATAAATTTTGGATTTTGCAAGGTTTTGGGTACATAACAAATACCCGGGTTATCTTTCCTTGCCTTATTAAGTATTAGGCAATTATGTAATTGTTATGTGTGTGTGTGCGTACACACACACACACACACAAAAGTTGTCATTGATTCACCATAGAAAATAATGTATGTTTTTCAAACAGAAAATACAATGTAGGAAACTTTTTCTGTCCACACCTCATTCTTTTTTGTGCCTGACTGAAAGTTTTGGTGTTATGAAATTCTATCCAAGAGTTAGATTTGTGCTTTTCAGCAGCTTTCAGTTTTTGTTTGTCAGTGTGCTTCTCTTGGGGTTTTCTTTTCTCAATTCAAAAAATTGATTGAAGAAGTTTTTAGTGTGAGAAAGCATTTTCAATAGTGGAATTGAAAAATTGATTACAAAATCTGAGCTGGGAAAACATTTGCCATTGTTGTAAAATATCCTCTCAGATATTTGGTAAAATGGTTACACATGATCTTACTGGAATTATCTTTGCAAATAGAATTTCAATTATATATAGTCCCCTTTTTTACATTTTTTTTTTTTTTTTTTTTCAAATATAATTTAACAGTACTAAATTTATAACTCTTTGACAATTACTACAGCTTTTATTTTGACTACACTTTAGTTTGAAGAATAATTCTATGTGCCTTATAAATATTTTATAAAAATAAAGCCAGCTTTTCATATGTTCAAATCTACTTCATGTCTCGATGAGAACCATAGCTATTTTGATAAAATGAATATGCATCTTGTGATTAATGTCATATCCTAGGATAAGACCAAGTGGTTACTGTTAAATTATCCTGTGAGCTTTGTCTATCTATTTTTATTTAATGTGAAGATGATTAAATTGTGTAGTTGTTGATCATAGTCCTATTTTTCATTTTTTTTAAATTGTTTTAGTTTTCAACTTCAGTTGAAAAGCATTTATTTGGAATTCATTTAAAGTCTTATTTCATTTTTATTATGATACTGATACAAGCTTATTTGTAATGTTTTGAATTTTGGTCTGTTAGAAAATATAACAGTTTAAGACCTCTTTCAGTTTCTTGATAACACTGTCTTCCATGAAATGTGTGTGTATACATACATTGGGAGCAAAGAAAAAAATTCATATTTAATTTTTTCTTTTTTTCTCCTGTAACTTTGTTTTCTTTATACATAAACTTTATACACAGAAGTAACACAAAAGAATTTTCAAATTACCAGTCTTATCTCAACTTTGCTCTTTCAGGTATCTAAAGTATAATCTGAAAACTTATTCTTGAAACAAATGCTAGGAGTTGAATTATTTACAATCTCCTGACTTTAGTTTTGAAAGACCATATCAACAATTTCTAGAATAGAAAGTTTGATATTACTGAAAACGTTTTCATTTATTGAATTTAACTTTAGATGAAAATTTGTTTTCTTCACAACAAAATTGATAAACATAAAATCAGTGT